TGGGGGATGACCTCCTCAGCAGCTCAGTGGCTGAGAGGGATCTTGGAGTCATAGTTGACTCCAAGATGAACATGAGCCGGCAGTGTAATGAAGCCATCAACAAAGCCAATCGCACCTTATCATGCATTAGCGGATGCATGACCAACAGATCAGTGATGCTCCCCCTCTACGCAGCACTGGTCAGGCTGCGGTTGGAGTACTGTGTCCAGTTCTGGGCGCCGCATTTCAAGAAGGATGCAGAGAATCTGGAGAGGGTCCAGAGGAGGGCCACTCGCATGATTAGTGGCCTCTGTGCAAGACCCTACAAGGGGAGGTTGAGGGAACTGGATCTCTTCAGCCTTCACAAGAGATGACTGAGGGGAGACCTTGTAGCAGCCTATAAGTTTATCAAGGGAGGACAACAGAGAGTTAGAGATGCGCTATTTACCAGGGTACCCCTAGGAGTAACTAGGAGTAATGGGCACAGACTAGTAGAGAATAGATTCAGGTTAGACATTAAGAAGAAATTTTTCACAGTAAGGGTGGCCAGAATCTGAACCGGGCTGCCAAGAGAGGTGGTACTATCACCTAACTTGGAGGTCTTCAAGAGGAGGCTAGATAGGCACCTGGCTGGGGTCGTCTGACCTCAGTCCTTTTCCTGCCTGGGGCAGGGTGTTGGACATGATGATCCTTCGGGGTCCCTTCCGACTCTACAATGTATGAATCTATGACATAATAGTGACCACTGCCTAATGTCACTAAGAAGCGCCTGCTACTAATGATTTCACTGACTACTAACATGGGCCAGATTTGATTTGAACCAATGACCTAAGGCAAGGGTGACCAACCAATGACCTAAGGCAAGGATGACCAACCGGTAGAATAGGTGCCACAAGTGTCATCAGCAGCCTCTGTATGTGGCATGTAGCAGATTGAGGGGAGGACAGGCAGCACAGAGGCTGAAATCATTAGGTAAAGCAGCAAATTGGGCAAGGAGCACAGGGAAGGAGCAGAAAGTAGAGCAGCAGATCAGGTAGGGGAAAGGGATCAGAGTGGTAGCTGGGGAAGGCGTGGGGCTAATTTGTGGCATGCCTGCTGAAAAGAATGGTCCCCACTGACCTAGGGGTTAAGGGCTCTGTACACCATTACTAAATCCCTGAGCCATCCAGTTCCGCAGGATACACTATCTATCTGATATCCTGCTGAATGGCCCTTATCAGCAGGAAAAGCTACTGATTCACATTAGCCCTGACACTGAAAGTGCATTAGTAAATTAATGACTTAAACATGAGCAAAGCTAGCAACCTTGGGCCAAACTCTGTTCTTTTTACATCTGCACTTGTCTTCATAAGTAAGTAATGGATCAGAATGCATATAACAGAGGACATAGTTTGTCCCATTATATAATGTATCAGCACAGTCTTGTACTCTTTATTGTTTGTTATTTTGCTTTGTTGCATGTTGTGCGACAAAGCTATTGTGAACTCCTGTGAAAACTAAGAAACTTAATGCATTCCATAGGTAAATAAATAGACTTTTATATTTCCCCTCCTATTTGTATCCATCTTCAATAAGTACTCAGTAGGTTGTTTAAAGAACACAGGGGACCGTTTCTTGCTGAGGCACCAAGTTTCTAAAAGTGATAATGTATTTTAGCCTTTGCAAAATGGATATGCAAGTTATTTTGTTATCGTGAGGCAAGAACAGTTTCTTGTCTGTCAAGCTTCTTACATAAATAAATAGAGCTTAAACGCGTTCTTTGTGGAGGAGGCTGGCATGTAATTGGGTTTACTTTCAGAACTATAATTAATGAAATATAATTCTGTAATTTTTTGTCTACACAGAATAAGGATTATATTACATGCTTCCCCTTCCAAATACATCATGACATGTGCTTGCCTATCACATTAACCTAAGTGGCTTGCAATTTAAACAATGGAATGAGCTTCTTCATAGTAAACTTGTCTAATAAAGACAATAACTGTCTCTATTGTGTACTACAGCTCCCAGCTCCCTGAGTTCCCTATTTACATAGCCTTTAGATCACCCAGTCTTATCTCATGGTTTTATTACAAGACGGGCAATGTTTGGTGTTCATACGTTATATCTGTAAAGCATGAGCTAATATTTTTTCTTTGTTTTCTTCTTTTCCCCTAGAAAAGGAAATGTCTGTCTCTTGTGGTTACCTAGAGCTTTGTAAATACAAATGCTAATGATACAAAATCAGAAAGCAAATAAGAGGAACCCAAATGCTATTATTAAAAAAACAAAACAAGCAAACAAAAACCCCTCCTTGATATTTGTGCCAGTCTCATGACTACAGGAGCTGACTCATGGCTGTTGACTGCTTGGGGCTGGCACTGCTTAATACCTTTCAAAGCAGAAGGAAACCCAGGAGGGAAACATTATGTAGTATCCAAAATAAAAACAGTACATCAACATCAAATGAAAAAGAATGGTAAAAATTACTGCACGTATCACCCAAACAGTATCAGTATAATGTGCATCTGCAGTAATGTGTTAGAAGAAAGAGCCAGACCATTCTCTTATCTTATATCAGATTAGACCATTGACTTTGGCAGTGAGACATGGATAAAATGGCAACCCTATATCCTAAAATATTTCAAAGTTAAATACAAATGCTATTACCTCCACTTCAGTAACAAGCGTTAAGTGAAGGAGATGATGACATCCAAGTCCTTATGATCGCTTTTTCCAACTGTCAGCAATGCATGAAACACCTGCATACTGCCATCAGTTATTTGCATTGCCACCCCTACAACTTACTCTGTCTTTTAGCCAGCCAGAGGTATTGTTGTTATTTTACCAGGGTACAATACAGAAACAAAATATAGTTCCATGCAATCAACCCATGTACCCATAAATCCCAGGGCAAAATACTTTCTCCCAGGGTAAATGAAGGTCAAATTAGGGATGAAACCTGAATCTTACTGAAGTCAATGGGCACCCAACAACCTGATGTGTATTCTTCAGTCTATGCTAATCGTTCCTCTTTCATTAATCCAAAGTGAAGTTGAAAAAACAATTAAAAAGAAAACCCCCCACAGAACTCAAATGTATAAACCAGTTTTTCATATTGTAAAATGTTTTCAAAGTTGATATTCTCTAGCACAAAAGGCTCTATATTCATGTTTTACAAATAGCACATATGGATATGCAGGTTATATGGAGATAGTTCCAAGCACATTCCAGGGAATTTGAACAAGGTAGTTTGTCCAGTGTCACCTCCCAGATTTCTATTTGGCCACAATACCAAAGACTACGCCCCTACACTTTCAGAAAGTACTGTGAGATCTTTAATCAACACAGTGGGTAAAGGATCTGTGGTATGTAGGTAGCATCCCAAAAATGGCACTGTTATGACTACAGTGTCCCCTGGAGCAGTCAGGTGTTTATTACTGGTTAAAGAAAGGAGTCCCATCAACTAGCATCACTGCTGCTTAGTTCGCCTTAGTTTTTCTGAAAGGTCTCACTGAAGTTCTTACCTGGTCCAGTTAACAGCAGCAGAGTCTCCCAATGCCTGAAGAAGGGTGTTTGTGCCTGAAAGCTTGCAAAGAACTGTTTTCCAGCTATTTAGTTGATCTTAGAAAAGATATCACATCTACCTAAAGAAACCTTACGTGGTCCAGTCCGTTTTAGTTAATAAAATATTATATGGCATAATAAAATATGATAAACTTGGTGGACAGACTAAGGATGGTTTGGATAGATATCCCTCCCCCACACACACTTTTACATAAGTATTCATTAAAAATAAGCATCCTGTTCCATCTAATCTGTTTTCTGTTGCCCAAGTTCTCTAAGGACAGAGCAGCAAGGGAGGAACAAAGCCTGTTATATGCCAAAACGTAATCTTTTTCACAAATGCTGCTGACTGGCGTTACACTACAGGTTTAATCCTCCATGGTTCCAGTTACACTATACTCTTGCATGAGCCTAAACTAATCATTTCATTTCCCACCTAAACCAAGTAACAGTATTTGTTCTCAACTTGCCAATAATTTATTGATCCACTTGTTGCTATTCAAAACTAATACTGAAAATGAGGAGTGGCTGTTATCTATGATAGCAAATGTACCTGAGGGCATTTTGCCCCCTGGGTCTCTCAACATAAAATGTTGAATGTTATCTTTTTTTTTTTCTTTAATAATATTATCTGTTACATGAGTTCGTAGCATAAGAAGAAAAAAAGACTGGTCATTTTTATTGAACTGCTCACTAAACAGGTGATAAACTATTCTTTGAGCTGATCTCTGATCGGAAATTCCAGGAACCGTCAAAGGGATAAAATTACTCTTGTATAATCCTACTGTGCGTTTTTAATATAATGTGCTAATACATTGTCCGGCTTTTTCAACAGAATTACAACACTTCCCAGTGTAGACTTAGCCAATATGTGATTGATTCCGGTCTGTAGGGATTGGACCAGTTCAGTGTAATTTCCTGTCTTGTTGCTTTCATTTCTATTAGGGAGTCTTTTGGTTCATGGAAATCAATAGACTTACACATGCAAAATGTGAGGTTATTTTCTAGCAAGTTTCATTTGTGTCTGTACGTTATGGAAAATGCCACTTTTCTACGCTTAGTATGTCTATGGCATGTTAGTTTTTTGGCAGACATCAAAACTTACTCATAGACAATATTCACTTACCGTTCAAAACCAAAATCCCGAAGGAGAAGAGAGACGTAAATCATTATGAAGAGGCTGGGGATACTTTACAAATACAAATTCCAGAATCTGCCACTTGAAATGTTAATGGTACTTAACTGTTTTGCAAATTGGGTCCTATTTGTCTCAGCAGAATCATTAAAGCTATGATTTATCCTAAAACAGACTTTATTATTCCATTTAATTATAATGGAGGAGTAAGCCTACAAACCCCTAGCAATCGATTCCTTTAACATAGTGAACTTTGGACAGATGATAATTATTTCCATACGGGAGGAGAACTTTATTTTTGCAAGAAAAATGTTTCTAATATTGTCCTTACTTGTTACAGAAATTGAAGCAAACTGAAGAAACAAAAGAAGATTCTGAGAATAGATTATCTAAAATTTCCCTGGAGTCACTCAATAAATTTAACAGCAATAATATGACTTTATTAGAAAAAGAGAAGAACTGTCTGAACAAGGTTGAAGGACAAAAGGAAGTAAATGGAAAGCATGAAGACCCTTCTTTAAATAGCTCTGATAGGCATGGTGTAGACAATTTAGAATCCTTGAGTGATTCTTTATATGATAGCTTCTCATCTTGTGCCAGCCAAGGCTCTAATGATGTATAAAGACACTTTCCAGTGGGCTGTGAATGGAGCACTTAAGGAACTGGAAGAAAAAAAAAGCAAGCAAGCAAGCAAGGAAAGAAACAACTGTTGAAAAACTTCAGCCTAAATTGTTGGATGCTCAGCAGGGAATTTGGTGACTTATGATACAGCAATAAGAAAAGACGAGACTGCATTTATGGCAGTGCGTGAGACTGAGAAGCGAACGCAAAAATGCTGTTATACAAAAATGTCTTAATTTTGCACTTTTATGAACCTTGTACAGAAGTTGTACATTTTTTTTGAAAACAAATTATATTTGTAGAAAAAACGCCAGCAATAAATATTGAATTGGCGCCATTCTTCTGGAGTGGCAGATGACTAACTTTTAAAAGGTGATGTTCATATTAACAAGAGAAGCTAGTAGATTTTTAAAGAAAGATTTATAATTGTTCTAGTCTTAAAACTGTATGTAGGAACACTGCTTTAACATAAACCTGAGCCTGCCAAATCGTCTGTAATAAACTTTCTTGGACCCTCATTTTAAAACATACATTTTGATTTTATATTTTTTCGTTTTCATACAATTTCACCTAAGGTTCGCTAGGGTTATGTGCATTTTGGTTGGTGCAGTTCCACAACGTGTCTGTTGATACGTCAAGAGGGTTTTGATGATTGATACAGTAAGAAAATGATTGGATCCAAAGGCCCTGTCCTCTGTGGCATGTAAGTAGTCCCCAGACTTTGTACATCATAAAGCCACCCATGTGCGTAACTGAGAAAGATCACCATCACAGACGTACCACTTCAATTTGAGTTTTGCCTGACACGACTGCAGGATCTGGCCTTTATTTCTAATGGCAGGATGTACTTTAAAGCATCCCGACTTCTTCGCCCTTTGTGTAACCCATTTCCGAATGCGGTGGGTTGATTTTTTTTTTACCAGCTCAGACCCACTGTGTCCTCAAGGCTATTGGTTAATCCTGGAAAAAAAAAATGAAATACCGTTCGTATTTCTGATTTACAGCTAAGGAAAACAAGTAAAAAGGCTCTTGGTGCTAACGAAGCTTAATTCAACATATCTGGGTCGTTTTCTACAGAGACTATTTATATGTACGGGAAAAGTCTATGTCGAGAGTTCGGTGTATTTTTTCTAGTGGTGAAGTATTTATAATTGCTTTTGTACAGCAGCCTGTAAACTGGGTATATTTGCATCTGTCTAGCCTCTGCACTGTGTCTTTCCCGCGCACCTGTTAATCTTTCGCCGATGCTATTGTACATCCGTGTTATTTCGGTAATGCTTTGTGCCGTCTGTTACCGTTGTGGGGGTTGCGGTGGGTTTTTTTTCCATTTCGCCTCATTGTCAGCGGGGCCGGGCGCCCCCCTCACGAGCTCCCTGGCCGCCGAGCCGTTTCATTTGCCACGCATTTCTGAATAAAAGCCCTGTGACCTATCTGGCGAGCCCGAGCGAGTTCAACGGAGGTTTTTTTTTGGCAGCGGGAAGTTTGAAGCACGGGTTAAGGGGTCCCGACCCCTTTTTTTTTTTTTTCCACAGCAGAGCCTTTCTAGACGCCTTCAATACATGCCAGGGCTCCGTTTCGACTACAGCAAAAAAAAGAAAAAAACACCCCACCCAAAATCTCTTCTTCTGGTCCAGTTTGTGAGCAGCCACAAGGGAGTCGGTCCCGCGCCGCCCCCGGCCCCGGGCAGCCCCGCTGCAGCAGCCCCAGAGCCCGCGCAGGCGGCGGCCGAGGCAAGCGCCGCGTTTAGGAGCCGGCCCGG